TAAAATAAAAGCAGCCATTTTATGTGATGCTAACAAAGGAAAATGTAAACCAACAGCTATAGTTCACGCCCAACAAACACATAAACTTATAGAAACTGTTTCTGTTGGTACCACAGCCAGACAAAGCTCAATAACCAGCAACATTACTTCGCGATACTACGAGTTATTTAAACCTTTCTTACATTCTACCAAAATAATAAGTGTCATCGAAGACATTGATGCGACGGATGCAAATATATTAATACTAGTATCAAATTATGTTAACGAAATTTATGATTATCTGTACAGTTTGGAAGACAGTTTCGTTATAACTGAAAATCATCTTGGAAATCAACAGGACGTTACTCCAAATATGCGTGCTGTACTTGTAGATTGGATAAACGAAGTTCATTTGCAATTCCACCTGGTACCTGAGACATTTCAAATGGCAGTAACTATTATTGATCGATATTTACAAGAAGTTAATGATACAAAACGTTCAGAGTTACAACTTGTAGGAGTAACAGCTTTGTTCCTTGCTACCAAGTATGAGGAAATCTTTCCATCTTCTCTAGTAGATTTTATATACATCACCGATAATACGTACACAGCTAAACAGATTCTACAAATGGAAAGAAAAATGTTCAAAACAATCAATTGCAATTTATCGCGACCATTGCCAATACATTTTTTGCGTCGGCTTTCAAAAGCAGCTAAAGCTACAGATAGACATCATACAATGTCTAAGTACTTTCTCGAACTAGTTTTAGTTGATTATAATATGGCAGCGTATAAGCCATCTAAGGTATGTCAAATATTTTTTAATAATCTGAACCAAATTTAAATATTTCTTTTCTAGGTTGCTGCAGCCTCGGTATTTTTAGTACTACATTTGCTCAACGGAAATGCAAATGCAGCAACTGGTTTTAATGACGCACATTGGACTCCAACTTTACGTCATTACTCACGCTATAGTGCAACTGATTTGCGTCCAATAACTATGAAGATCGCTGCTATAGCAAGAAATGCTCCGAACGCTAAATTAAAAGCTGTTTACTCTAAATATCAATTATCAAAGTTCGATAAAATTTCGCTTCGTTCCGAGCTCTACGGTGCACTAATGGACTCTATCATTAATAGCAAGGAATAGTTTTCCGTAACTAATATATATTTTTCAGCACAAATTGTTATATTTTTTAATTTACATTTATCTCGCCTTATATCTTGCATAGTTATTGCGTTGTTATATTGTTTTATTTTAATATAAATTTAGTTTAAAATTAAGAACCATGAAAATGAGTGGCAATATTATGTTTTGTTTGTTGAATTTAAAATGCATGATTTATACTTGCTTATTCCAAAACCTCACATTAATTATACACAAATTTTTAAACAAATTTTTAGTTAAACTATTGACTGTTGTTATATCTGAATAGTGTAAAAATTATATATTTTCTCTTGCAATTTTTGAATACCAAATATGCTACGTTTAACTTAACTATTTGAAACAAATAAATTTATAATTTTTACTACTAATTTTAGTTAATATTTTAAGTTTGAAAACTAAATGTATTTTTATTAATATTAGTGATAGTTTTTATTAATTAAGATTTTAGTGTTTTAGAAATTTCAAATAAAAGCCAATAAAACAATGATTTTGTTTTCAATTCCTCTCAACGTAAGGAATTGATATTCTGTAAGGTCTAACCTTATAGATCTGTCAAGAAATATTTTAAATATATGGTATATTAATAACCTAATCAGCATATATTATTTAAATAGTTTATTTATTTTTATAAACAGCACGGAACTGAAATGGTCTCACTTATTAATAACCCTGCATGTGTTCTAATTAAGTACATTACTACCTTGCATTTCCTTTGTCAGTATTACCCGTACTTATTACACATTATTTATTTAATATTTATAGAATAGAAAGAAAGAAACCATGACTTAACTTACTTCCATAATAACAACATTTCCAGTTGATTATCGGAGTAAACTTAACTAAGTAAAACTAGATATTTACATCGTTAGCTATTTTACATTGTAAAATAAAGTCATAAGTTTATTTGTTAAAATTTTTTATATAATATATCCCCACTAGATCTCTCATTGTATGTTTCTGAGCTGAGCTAAGCATAGACGGTATGCGTTGGTAAGTAGAGTGAAAGGGTTGTTTACTTCGCAATTGACTTGAGTGACAATAATAAATTCAGTTAATGATGGAGAGAACTTTTTTATACTTTAATTGAATATATAATATATAGTACAATATATAATAATTAATTAATTAGTTAATATAAATCATATAAAAACAATAGATTATTATTTTGTATTTAAATTCAAAATTGTTTTTTTTCTTAATTGTAGATATTTTGCATTTAAACACTCAACGTCAGACCGAAGAAACCACTGCAGAGGACTTGAGGATTTCAGAACATAAGAGCAATTACTATAGGATTATCGAGATTGTGACATTGCAAATCTGTCCAAATATATGTGAAGCTGTTGAAAGTGGTCGTCTGAGAGAGCCGATGACACGACTATTTTTGTCACTAGACACGAATACTACTACTACTTTGTACGACAAGAAATTTGTGTTACTTATTAAAAAGTCAACTAATATGTATTTGTTATAATTTATTAATTTATGCACCAAAAAATTTCAAAAATTATGAACAACTTGAATATATTATAACATTCGTTTTTTATAAAGAATATAAGTATGTCCTCGCAAATATATTGGGCCTTTAACGTGATATGTTGATATAACTTAATAAGTGTGTGACATTCTATTAATTAACAGTTTTAATTTTCGTTAATCTATAAAAATTAATTGTATTTATATATATTTATATATCAATAAAGTAATAAAAATGCCAGATCACCGGCTGCCCAAAATTCGTCGTAAAACACCTACTCCAATCCAGATCGCAGTTCTTTGCTCAATAGGATGCACTTGCTGAGGAATACAGCAGTTCCCCTTATCCTACTGAAACAACTTTGTGGCGTCAATGGCAAACACAAATACTCCAAAATATTGACCTCAGCTCGAGAACCCAATTTGAAAGACAAGACTTTAAGACTTTTTACAAGACTTTAAGTAATATTCAATAATGAAACTAAATTCTTAATAATTCTTAATAATTAAATTCTTAATATAAACTATTGTTTTTAATAGAGAGGTGTTTTGAACCGTAGTAAATAACAGCAAAATAATTTTATTATTTATTAATTAATTTAATTTTTGGCTAACCATACAGCTGTTTCCAGTATTGCCAAATACTCATCATCAGTGGTCTTAGAATTATTTCTTATATTTAATTATTCGTTAATAATTTTTTGAGGTTACAAGTACCAAGGGTTGAACTCATGCCCTGCCAATTTGAGGCTTAGAGTCAGCATGCATCAGCCAACTAACCCAAAGCCGTACTTGATTTGTATGTTCGAACTTGGAGTTTTGCTAATTTGCTGTGAAAGCAAAACGAAATCGTAAACCAGCTGTAGAATAATTTAATTAATTAATTGTAATTATTTTTAGTATTCTTTCTCGTGTATAGAACAGGTTCTCTAAAAACGCAATACTCAGGCAAAACTGAAAAGTTGATTTATTTATGTTGAGGCTAATTCATTCAATGCACTTGAGCATTTTTACTCTCTATATACTGCGAGTTTCCTTCATAACCCCTCTCTACACGTTGACTGAATTATTGTTTATCACTTTATCAGACCAAGCAATAACTAACCTCACATTTGCATACCTTACAGAGGAGCCTGTAACCATTCTGAGATTCTATAGAGCGGTGTTACTAAGCCTGTCAGTTTTTGTAAATAGTTTCTGGACTCTATCATTTATGTATTTTTAATTGGGTCAATCTTAAGGTCGCTGAGGATGTCATTCGTGGCACCGTGGATGTAACATAGCACCTTGAAAAGTCTTCTCAGAGCCGTTTTGACATATATTTTTTTTTTTATAATATACGTAAAAGTCGGAACAGTAAGCATATGTGAATTTAAAAACATCGAGTGTGCATTTTAAAATTAGTTTTTTTTTTTCAAATCTACTGTCATTCATTAAAAACATAAAATCAAATAATCAATAAATTCGTTCAATATAAAGTATTCAGTTGTGAGAGATTTTACAATGGGACGAGCACGGGAACTAAACAGGAAAAGCGTAATATTTATACTTTATTAATTGTTTTTATTATATATTATCAACTCATATAAAACAAACATTCACCTAAAATAGGTGTTGATTTGACTTTTTATTTGTATCATGAGGCGTTTTCGGTGGCTCGCAAGTGTGGTACAAAATGCATGCTGGCCTATATTGGCTACGTAAGACATTGGCATCACTGGTGCAATCTGTCAAGTGTTATGTTTTGGCAAATAGCAAATTTCCAATGAAGGTTCATAATAGTTCGTTTATTCCGCGTTGGTAACACTTTTATTTTTATTGGCTGATGTGTTGGACAGTATAGACCAGTAACTTGCTATTTTTTGCTATACTTGGGACCCACCGAAATGACGTATAATTAAGTTCATTTCGTTTGATTTTTTTTTTATATGGTAAAATTTATTTTTTCCTGCTACATTTTGTGGTCCAAGGACTACTGTTAATAGATGTCTGGTGATATTCGGAACGGCTGTGTGGTCAGCCCAGAGATTCACTCATAAAATTTTTTTTTGATTTTTAAAATTACTTTAATATTAACGCCTTTTCTATTTAAAGTGGATTTATTTATTATAAGACATAAAATTTGTTCTTATTCTCACTTGGAGTTTTGGCCATTTTTTTTGTTAATGTTTATACATAATTTTTTTGTTATATTAGAAAGAAATCATAAGCGACAACCATAGAGATATTGAATAAAATAAAAATATTTCTTGATTCTAAATTTTATTACTATATTTTTTTATAATAGCTTATATTATTAATTTGTTTTTATTCATTCAATATTATCCATTTCTATGAATTCATTTAAATATATTAACGAATTAATTTTTATGCAAATTGAATACGAATGAAGCAATTCCTTGAAATACTCTACAGTTTTATAGTTATTGCAATCGCAACTTATTACCAACTGTCAATACAAATAAAGCGAAGTATGTCATTTAAACACAAAATATTTAACGAAGAATATAAGCGCGGCGAACATTTTGAACTATTTGCTTCAAAAAAATATTTGCAACGGCGGAGTGAGCATCGATAGGGGTGCATATGTTTTTAGTTTTAACATTTACTTTCAGTTTTATATAATCTATACTAGTTTTGGTGATAAAAAACTTTGTCTAACATTACATATTAATTTGATTAAAAAACAATATAATGGATGCACTTGTAGGAATATCAAAAATTACAGTCGACGAGGTAAGCGCAATTTTGTTTAATAGCCAAAGTGATAGCGACGCCATTATGTTTGCACCTATAAATCCCGTTTATATGCGCATAATTTTGTTTTGGTACTTGCGGCACAATTTTTACAATATTCATTTCGTTATTGTGTAATAAGAAATAATAAATAAAAATATAAAAAGAAATATCTAAAGTAGAATTTATATATTGTTTTACAGAATGATGCAGAAAAGTACAACAGAACTAAAAAGGTTCAACCAGCCGCTGAAAAAATGAAGCGCGCTGCTTTAGGTGATCTGCAGAATCGTGCAGTATTGCGCCCCATTTCTGGGAAGGATGCTGTACAAAAAAGGTGCGTTATACTTCAAATAATTTCATTTATTTTATATGGAGTATAAATATTTTAATTATTTTAATTTAATTCAAGCAATACTACAAATGCTAAGCTGCAGGCTGCCCTACGCGGCACCAAAGCACGTGTTGATAGTCGTTGGAAGAAAACTACAGCCAGTTCTACAAACAACGCAGCTGAGTTGGAAAGCAATACTATAGACCAACGAAAAGTTATAACCCGTTCAAATTCTGTACGTTTGGGTATCAATGTGCCTGCAGAGCAAAAAGTCAAGACGTTGGCAACAAAAGCGGTAGAAAATAAACAACAAAAGTTGGAAGGTATTGACACACACTTTTTTAATCCTGAAGTATTCTTACACATTTAATTTTAGTTGCCAAAATAAAAACAACGGATGTTGAAAAAACCCAAACAGTTTCCATTGTGCCTAGATTACGTGGAGAAGATAGTCAGTTATCGCAAATATCACTGAATAAAATGAAATCAACTATTTTGCGTGATACAAACAAAGTAATAAACCAAAATAGCAAGCCAACAGCTATAGTACAAGCACAGCAAACAAATGGAGATGTGGGAAGTGTTGCTGTTGAGACCACAACAAAACAAGCACGAGGAAATGAAAAGATTGCTTCACGACACTGTGCATTACTTAAACCTCTATCGCATTCCAGCAAACTGATTAGTGCCATCGAAGATATAGATGCAAACGATGCAAATACATTAATACTTATTTCTGATTATGTTAACGAAATTTATGATTATCTGTACTCTCTGGAGGACAAATTGGCTATTACCGAAAATCATCTTGAAGGTCAAAAGGAAGTCTTTCCAAAAATGCGTGCAATACTTATGGATTGGATAAATGAAGTACATTATCAAATACATCTAATATCTGAAACATTTCAAATGACGGTAGCTATCATTGATCGTTATTTGCAAAATGTTAAGGATACAAAACGTTCAGAGTTACAACTTGTAGGAGTAACAGCTTTGTTTATTGCTACCAAGTTTGAAGAATTGTATCCTCCTCCTTTAAGTGATTTGATATACACTACCGATAATACGTACACAGCTAAACAGATTTTACAAATGGAGTTAAAAATCTTTCAAGCAATCAACTGCGATTTATCGCGACCATTGCCAATACATTTTTTGCGTCGATTTTCAAAAGCAGCCAAAGCTGAAGATAGACATCATACAATGTCCAAGTACTTTCTAGAACTAGTTTTAGTTGATTATAATATGGCAGCGTATAAGCCATCTCAGGTATGCTTTTTTTTTTTAAATAATCTGGACTTAAATTAATTGAGCGCTTTTGTAGGTTGCTGCAGCCTCGTTATTCTTAGCACTACATTTACTCAACGGAAATGCAAGAGCAGCAACTGGCTTTAATGACGCACATTGGACTCCAACTTTACGTCATTACTCACGCTATAGTGCAACTGATTTACGTCCAATAACTATGAAGATCGCTGCTATAGCAAGAAATGCTCCGAACGCTAAGTTAAAAGCTGTTTACTCTAAATATCAATCGACAAAGTTCGATAAAATTTCGCTTCGTTCCGAGCTCTACGGTGCACTGATGGACTCTATAATTAATAGCAAGAAATAGTTTTCCAAAACTTATTTATTTTTAAGTTATTTTAATATTTAATTTTAGCAAAATTTGTTAATTTATTTTTTTATGTACTGTATTTCGTACTATATTTTGCATGGTTTTTGCTTTGTTATATTGTGTTAATATTTTTTTTGATTCCAATACTAAAAAGGACGACACATGTAAAGCCTTAAATAATGTAGTGTTTAATGGACATTAAAATGCAATACTTATTGGTACTTGTTGCAGAGTTTTCTATTAATTGTTAACAAATTCTAAATGCCAAGATTAGTCTAAACACAAGTAATATTAAGTATACAATTACTGACAACTGTCAAATTTGTGTAATATAAAAATTATATTTTATACATTTTAATTTGCGCTTTAAATATAATTCAATATTTCATACTAATTACAATTTTTTACACAAATGAATGATGTGTTTTATACTATAAAAGCTTATAATTATAATATATTTATATCAGTGTTTGTGATAACGCTTAATTTAGTTAAAATTTTTATATTTTAGTAATTTAATAATTTTAAATAAAGGTTAATAAAGATGACTTGATTTTTTTAAATTTCTTGTGCAATGAGAAATTATAATGATTTGTGATAGCGATCTTAAGTATCGAACATTCTAAACATTTTAAATATACTCATTTGACTTACAAATGTTAGGTTACTTAAAAATTCACTTTTATCCCTTATATATATATATACCGAGAGTAATAGATATGCTATCATCCTTAGTGTATAAAAAAAATATTCTTCAAGTTTTAACCAATATTTTTGATACTTTATATTTATTTATTGATCATCTT